TATTAAACGACAGAGTCCAGATTCCAGGGTAGACACAGCCCCCTTTACTGCTACCAGTTGCTATGGATACTTGGGCAGCAGGAGTAGAGGAATATCCCTACCAAGGGAAAAGGCATAGGTGCCATAATAAATAGTACCTATTTAAAACTTTATCAAAGGAGGCAGACTAAAGGAAAACAAAGTAATACTGTAGCAGCATTAACAGTAAGTCTAAACCCAGCCAGGACAGTAATAAAAACTTTGATACTGAGACATATTTGCAATTCTTACTTGATATTAATTTTAAAGAAAAAAATTATCTCTGCATCACATCTTTAAAGTAGTCTAACTAATACAGTGCCTTTTGACAAAGGTGCTGTGAAAGAATTTTATCTATCTATTCAGATTTATTTATTTATGCATACAGAGTTTGGGTACGGGCCAGAGGTGCAGAGGCAGTGAGAGGATTCACCAGATAGAGGGGAGAAGAACAGGCCGACTGATGAAGTACACCACTAAGGGGAGCAGCAGGCAGGCCAGGAGAGGTCTGCCACGCCATGTGGGTCACTTCTGGGGCGGGGATCGAACTCATGCTAAAGTGGCTCTAACCTCTCAGTGCTGTGCTTTAACCCACTACGCCACCAGGGAGGGCCTGAAAGAATTTTTTTTTCTTATTTATGCTTACAGAACTGGGGTATAGGCCAAAGGTGTGGTGGGTGAGAAGATTCACCAGAGACAGAATGGGGAGCAGAACAGGCAGATCTACTGAAATACACTGCTGAGGGGAGCAGCGGGCGAGCCAGGAGAGGTCTGCCACGCCATGTGGGTCAGTTCCCTGGCTGGGGATTGAACTCGTGCTTCAGTGGCTTTGGAGAGCTTCATAACGTGGTGCTTTAACCTGTTGTACCACCAGAGAGAGCCCCCAAAATAATTTCATTTTTTAAAGAATATATAGAAATGAAATTTAATAGCACCATAGTAAAGTATTCCAAATCATAACTTTGTGGGAGTAAAATAGGTTATACTGCAAAATTAAAGTATTATCCAATTATCACTAATACCTTGCTTTCTGGCACCTAAAAGTGATACAGTTCTTCAGCTTCTGATAAAGTTAACCATTGCTCTTGTCTACCTTCTTAAATCTCTTCCACCCTTTTTAAATCTATAATAGCACTAGACTAGTTCTTCTGAACTAGAATGAATCACATTACCTTCTTCAAAAACCTTTCATGTTTCCAGGACCTCAACCTGATATTCCAAGGCCTTCTAGGTAATGATCTTAACTTAGCATTCTTTCCTTCCATTACTCATTATCTAGTAGCTCCTGATTCTAGCCTTTGTTCAGGCTATTCCCTTCTTGTTCTAGTTTTCAACTCCTCTTTTTTATTATCTTTTAGCTGTCAAAGTCTTACACTTATCCTATATTCACTTAAAATGCCTACTTTAGAGAAGTTGGTTTAACTTTTTTTTTTAATCATACAGAACTGGGGTATAGGCCAGAGATGCGGAGGGTGAGAGGATTCACCAGGAACAGAGTAGGGAGCAGAACAGGCAGATCGATGAAGTATATTGCTGAGGGGAGCAGAGGGTGGGTCAGGAGAGGTCTGCCATGCCATGTGGATCTCCTCCGGGGCAGGCGGGTATCGAACTCAT